TGATGAAATAAAGGTCTGCCGAGCAATAAGAATATGTGACAAAACTTTACGAAAGCTGAAAAAGAGGAGAAACAAAGAATGAGCGAAATTTGCATCGAAACGGACGAAAACACCACATAATGCCAAATTTAAGTTTTACACGAATACACTTCTGCTCAAAATTTCGTTTCCTATGACACTTAGTTGGATATGATGAAATAGTATAGAAAAATGCAGTTTCATTTTCTCTATCTTTCTGTAAAAAAAGAATTTCGTCATAAGCAATTAATGAGGAAATAAGATAGGACGACATTACTTTTGGATACCCCTAAGTATTATCAATAATATTCATAATCAATTGCGTGATGTTCTTGGGGATTCCACTGTACAATCGATTGGATTTCAAGTTAATCGTTTATGAAATACCTTATTAACAGGCGAAGACTTTAGGGCAAGAACATCAAGTGAACCAAATGATAATGAAAAATCAAGTGAAGCAAATGATGATGAAACAGCACGTGAAGCAAGTGACATAGTCAGCATTAAGATCAATATCATGGCATTGAGTTACTTAATTGTGGCTAATCAGTCTACTGTCATCAATGGTCTTGCGTAAGTGATCATTGTTAATACTGAGAAACAGAAATACATTGAATTTTCTAAGATCAACTGTTTGTTATGAAAGAAATAGCTTAGGAATCTAGATTGAAAGAGAAAAATGCAAACATGCTCATTTTCATTCTTATTTACTTTCAACAAAGATCCCGATGTCGATCTGTTCGAATAATTAAATCATCGAATTATTTCCACTGAAATAACACAATAAAATTTGGATTTCCTAAAATAATTGAAAGATCAAAAAATGCAAACACCTTTCTTTCGATTAGTGTGGCTTTACGCATTGTTATACAAGAATCAATGAAAATGGCAGAAGACGCAAGTGTATTGAATTCCTTGTGTATGGAATTGATGGTTGACTGCCTTAACGATGGGCCATTCGCATCTTCATCTATCAAGCAATGTGAATATATTCGTATGATTGTCAAAATCTGTGAAGATTTTGAAAAAGATCTAGCTCTCGGTTTGCTTGGTCTATTAAAGGATGTAGTAAAAGGAATTGATGGGTTCGATTTTAAGCCTAAAAGTGTCGCAGTGAGTAGACAACATCTATCTTCAACTGTGGTGAAAATTTCCGACTCCTAGTTGATCATGGTCTTGAGCTATTAATTAATTATTATTAATGGCATTTTCATTACAATCAAAATAATCACACTGATCCGGAATTGAATTCAGTAAGTATTCGCTTGTTCATCACTTATTCAATGAAATTTCTTCATCTATTTTGTCTTCTCTCATCGAGGTGTGGTTGGAAATTCAACATCTTATGTATAGTTTGGAAAGTATCAATCCACAATAGGTGATCTTCATTAGAATATGTGATTTTCCAGTAAAAAAGAAACGATCTTTCATTTTATATTCAGATATTCGTCAGATCTTCTCATTAAAAGTTTTTTTTCTTTATATTTTTTGATTAATTATTTGAATAAAATTTGCGGAAAAAGAAATCTTCTGTCTTTTTTTCTAGATGATTGATTGTTCTGTCGGATTTCCAGATCTCTGTTGGTTTAATATTTGTCAATATTTATCAATAGGGGATATAGCTCAATTGTCATCAACATGTCGAATCTTACGTCATATGTTGTGGTCACGTCAATCGTCATTGTGGAGTTATTTAATTCATCTGAAATTTCATTCATCTATTCTTTATCAATCAATAAGAGCTTTATTCGATCAAGATGAAGATGAAGATGCAATCATTGCTGAGAATAATCGATTTTCTCAAAGACTTTTATCTGATATCGAAGCATATGAAGTTCTGCACGAAAAGTTTTTCAAACCGGGACAGTATCGATTTTGGCATGTTTATTTTACTTTAGCAGAAAAAGAGAAACGTGGTTTTTTTGCCTTGAGACGATTTATATTTCCAAATTCTATGCCCTTGCTGAATTATCCGGTTCCATTATCATCGAAATTATTTCGTTTGTACTATTATCGGTAAGCAATGTTTTCTTTCGTTTATTTCTCAATCAATCGAAATATCTATTGAAGAAAACAAAGACTTTTCTTTCGAATGATATCAGATTTTATGTAATTGTTAATACTTTTCTAAAGAAATGTATGTCTTTTCTTTCTTTTAAGATTAAACAAGAAAAGTATCTTAGCACCGATTGGTGCAATTATCTATGGTTATCTAATTGATTCTCATCGTTGTCTATCTGTTAGTGATATGTTCTATCGAAATAGTACAATGCCCAAAGATGAACAAAGATCAATGAAGATTGACAATGATGGCGGTGTTTCTATTATAAGATTTTATGAATCAGCGATTTCTCCTTTTATGACATATCTCTTTTTCGATAAAATTCCTCTATGGGCCGATTTACTTCCAGGTCGTTACAATTTAACATGTCAAATGAGATTACGATGTAATGTAAGAGAACTTTTTGTCATTGATTTTTTAAATGTTCAATTTCGATCAGAATTGAAGAAAAAAGAAAATCCTATTAAACAAATTATTCTTTTAGTTTATCGATAATTGTCCTAACGACGATTAATTACTTGGTATGGCTCCTATTAATATTTGTTTGTTAGGCGATCGAGCTGACCATGGCGGTCGATGGAAGGTTCTTCGATATCCTTGGTTGAAAAAACAACATCAGAAATATGGTGATAATCGATGGTTTAATGTTTCTCTTATAGAAAACTTTCTTCTTAATGATATTTCCAATGTTTACTTTGGTATTCGTGTTAAAAATAATTACCCAATTCTCTTTGATGTTTGGATTAACACTATTCAATTGAATTTAATTGCAATTAATTAAATATTTGTTTCTCTATTTATTCGCTCAATTAAAACAAAATTCTTCCGAAAAAATTTTGTTGTACGTAAATTAGCTTTTAACTAAAATTTTGTTGTTTTGTCTAAAATAATCTTCTACCGTTGAATAAAGATCGAAATTGACTTTAAAACTATGTTTATTTCATATGATATGATTGGAATAAATTTCTATATCTAATTGAAAGAAAATCTAAAGAAGAAAGATTTTCATTTAAATCGAAAACACCATTCAAATGGAATTTTTTTTCTATTGAATTGAATTTGTCATTTAATACTAACGAGGGAACCTCTCGAGGTGATTAAAAGCTTTTTGACTCAGACTATTTGCATCATGTAAAGAATAGTCAGCAGTGAAAAACCCCAAGTTGGTTTGGGCCCATGCGCCTTTTTGACGGAGATATGAGTTAAGTAATGAAAATGCCATTAATAATAATTAATTAATAGCTCAAGACCATGATCAACTAGGAGTCGGAAATTTTCACCACAGTTGAAGAT